CCCATGACGATGGCCAGTGTGATAGCTTTATTTTACACATGTCTCCCATAAAAAGTGCTTGGTATTTCAGCATCACAGTTGCCATGACATGGCCTTGGCGTGTTTATCCCAAAACACTTAGCTCTTAACATAATTTAACCCCTGTCCGTTGTCTCTGTTCTCTTATATTTCTTCCCTTCTGTCATGAAGTAAATAGAGGTCACCAAGATCAGGCTGATGAAAAAAAAAATGGCAACGTTTTGCACGTCTTTTCCTACATTCTAGTGAGTTTTCCGTTGAGATTTCTAGTCAAAGTGTGCGTTGGATGTTTTGCATTTAGTAACCCGTTGAATTTGGCTGAAACGTCCAGTTGTATTATTTGTCCGCATCTTTTCTAATTCCCCCGCAGAGTTCTCTAGTCGCATTATATGTTGTGTTTAGCATTTATTCTTATCTGTCACTCACCGCAGAAAGCACAAGAGCTTGCGCAACCAGTTTAGATGTTTCACATAACCTGGAATCCGTAGAAGCGTCAATGCATTCATCTAATTGCAATTTGTTCCACGTCACCATGTACATCCATCTCTTCCAATGGCAAAAAAGCCGGCTGGCCTCCAATTCTTCATGACCTAGTGTAGTCGCTTCAAGACACAGGTAAAGCTGTCAGGCAACTAATGGATATCACGCCAAGAATTTTACTCAGTTAAGTTATATTAAAAGTATCTCAGCTGTGTGTGTGTGTGAGAGAGAGAGAGATATAGAGAGAGAGGCACACACACACACACAGAGAGAGAGAGAGAGAGAGAGAGAGAAAGAGAGAGAGAGAGAGAAAGGGGGGGGGGGGAGAGCAGGCGTTTATCTTTGTTTCTGCTTTTGTTTTGTTTGAAGTTTCTTTTAAATAAATAAAAAAAAAATTCTTCCACATTTTTCCCGCGAAAACAATTCTTTCGTTTCCCTTGTGTTCTATGAACGTAGATGCCCGTTGGATATCCGTTATCTTTTAGTATAACATTGAGCATGTGGATATCAATTATAATATGCCATAGTGTGGCTACATTTTACAACATGTAATCAAATGGATACTATTTTAAAACTAACTAATTCGGAGCTTTGGGAGAGAGGTCTAAAGAAAAAAAATGTCCTTGTATCAAAAGGTGAGAAAAATGGGCGAGCTTTGATTAGGAAACAACACTGTTATAAAACCTTATAACTACAATGTCGTTGTTCTGAAAGTGGTCGACCTTTTAACTTTCTTCTCAAAAGGAATCGGAATAGGGCTAACTGCTGTCGGACAGCTTTGAGTCATGAATATGGCGCAAACACACACAGACCACAATATAAACAAAAAAGCTTCATTTGGGGTGGGGGAAGGAGAATGCTGACTGAAAGTGGTAAAAAGGCATTTTTCTCCCCATCAGGGAACAAACGGGTTCTTTATTTTTTATTCACCCTAGACATACAGTATCCCGGAGTTCCCCAATATATAATATTATAGGGGTGTTACAGTTTATAATGAACACCGACATTTTCTTCTCAACCCTAAAACATTGGACTTTCCGGGAAACTCAGGGATTCTACGCGACTTGGGTGAATACAAAATTAGGAACCATCGAATAAAATTACCAGAATCCTAACCAATCCGTACAGCGCGGGATGTTTCTTACTCATTTCACACCACGGTTACCACGCGTAACCAATAGCACACACACACAACAAGCGCACGTTAGCACACGCAACATGCCATTAATTACCTCACTAACTTTCCAGGAGGCGGAAAAAGCCCGGACATACCGCTGTCAAAATTTAAAACAAAGTGTTTGAGGTACGGAAGCGAGGCTACAAAATAAGAACAGGGTTTGAGGTTTTGAACTACGGATCAACATCATGGCACACGGGTAGTAACCCATAAGTGCTCCGTTCTTCTAACTCAAGTCTGAGTCCGAAGAAGCGCAGCACAGTCCGCATGCTCTGTAGCACCGGCTAGGGTAATAAAATATGTTAGGTAGATTTTTAACTCAAAATTTTGCCTGGGCAGCGCCGTTAGGCTACTCTTTTTTATTTCCAACTGCCAAGGGATTTTTTTTTTTACGTGCAAAACAATACACACAGGCGACTGATCTCACTACCCAGGGTAAAGGGGGAATTACTGGAAGTCAAATTTCACGTACAAAAATCCCAGCCCTTAAGGGGGTTTGAACCCGGAATCTCTAGCGCTCGAGGCGGACACCATGCCCCGAGAGCAAGCAGACCCTTAGAAAATAAGAACGGTGGGATTCACGGAAAGACACCCGCTGGGTGAAGCCAAGTTAGGTTCCTCTGGTTGATGCAGTGGGTGTGCGAATCTGCACCGGGGTGGACGAGTTTGCTAGAAAGAGGGAAGTTGCTCAACCCCCTTACACATTTTCTCAGGTTGGGGTGGCGGTACTCAAGGGGCCTAAGGTATTAAAATTCGTAATAAAAATAATCACAATAACACAGTAGTGACAACTCGTTTACACGAACTCTATTTGGTAACAAAAACAACAAGAACAACATTTTGGTCCCATCAGGGAATTCGCGTTAACCAAGTTTAACCCTACTCATATGCGAACGATACACACACACACAACAGACATTTAAAGGGAAAAAACACTCATACACAGTAATTGGGGTGATCTTGGGCCTTCCTATTCTCCGCTGCCTCTGACTTCAATAACCTACAGTATCTTGTACCAGGAATAATTTCTGATACAGATGTTGCTTCACATCAAGATGTTTAAACTGTTTAATTTGTTCAATTTGTTTTCCTTGCTTCTCTTCCCCTTAAACTCTTAAAGAAGTATAAAGCATATAGGTCTAAACATATTTTACAGACCGTCAGCATGTGCTCACCGGTAGCCTTTATTTCCTAGGGCTTTGCCTTATGGGTATTTTAAGGTTGGGCTGGCCTGAGAGCCAAGGCTGTTTCTGGGCACAAATTCCGGTTCCGCCAGGACCTGAACCGGTGACATTTGGATCCGCAGGCAAGCGTCTAGCAGCTACACCATGGCGGAGGCCTCATTGCACCGGGTTTTATCCCACATGTTCGGGCTCTCTGCAGAACGGCAAGCCGCAAGCCAGAGAGAGAGAGAGAGAGAGAGAGAGAGAGAGAGAGAGAGAGAGAGAGAGAGAGAGAGAGAGAGAGAGAGAGAGAGTATTTTGTGCAAAGAGGCATGTCAGGCAACGAGGAGGCGCTCATAACACCATAGGCGCCGGAACCTATGGGCTCAGATACCCTAGCCCCCCCCCCCCCCCATTTTTAGGGGACCGAGCACCCTACCCCCAATAATTCCTGGAGGACTAAGCTTCCACCCCTAGAATATTTCTAGGGAGGTCAAGTGGTTGCCGCTAACCACATGCATAATTCTAGTTTTAGTTATGATTATATATTTCATATTACTTGAAACACATGCTTTAATGGCCACTCAACACAACAGGTAACAATTAATTGTGCTCTTAAATGATGCTCAACAACCCCCCCCCCCACCCCCACCCCCAGAGTTCTTCATAGCGGCGCGGCTGCAATACAAAGAGGAACAATACAGAATACAATTACGAGTTCCACCTTTCAAACAAACAACATTTATTGCTGGTGCTAAAAGCAAGCAGACAACTATGTTCTTTTCGTCTAAGGTTCTAGACTTTTGCTTCTAAAAAAAAAAAAAAAAAATTGCGCAGCCTTTTCGCGTGATTAAATGAAAATATTAATAGAAATGCATTGCTGTCCAAAGATAAATCAGCAATGATGGATGGACGTTTACAGAAATCATATCAAGTTGAAAACATTTTTATCACGTTTCCTTTCCGACGTACAAGAGAGAACAGCTTTCCGACGTATAAGCAAACTGGTTAATCTTACCGGCTCTCTCCATCCCTGGCACTAAATGTATCTAAAGCGGATGGGAATTATACAAAGTTTACAATGTACGCTCAGTTAAACCAGTGGCGTACGGGCACATAAAAGGGAGAAAACCACGCTCTCATTTGCAACATTCCATTACCGTTATCGTTACCTTCTGTTTTCAGCTATTACTGCAAATTACACTGTTTTGCAACAACAGTGCAGCATATTTTATTTATTTATCTATTAACCTGTTCGCAAAAGTATCGGGTCACATATACTGCAGAAACAGGAAGTCTGTAAAACGAAAGCGGAAGTGCATAAACGAATAGATTTGAAAATATATACAATAAATAAAGACGCGCAAATGAGTGAAAAGGCGGTGGGGGCAAAAAAAAAAAAAAAAATAGAAGAGACGCGACATGCAACGGAACAGCATCTGTTATATATTGCCACACTGTTGTGTCAAAACAAGGATGTTAGTACATAAAATTCACAAATATTATGTTTTATTGCTACTATTAGTCCAAACATTGCAAACGTACTACATGAACTGAAGGACGCGTGCCTGAAATAAACCATGGCCTTCATGGTGCGGGACAAACAGCCTGACCACTGAACTATGAAGAACACTTAAATAAGATGAAAGTCCATATAACAATGTTTGACCACCCACACTGGAATTAGCTCCTGTTGAATTCTCACCCGAATAGTGGCCTAATCAGTAACATGGTCTTGCTATGTTTAGAATAATTGCCCGGCTTGCTAGCGCAGTTGGCTAAACCGGACTGCGCGGTGACCGGGTGACGAGCTCCTTGTGGTCCGGGTTCACGCCCGGGGGTAGGCAGAAAAGCCACATTTCTCCCAGATTTACGGTATTTATCATGGAATCAAGGCCGAAGGGTTGTGATATCCATGGTACCGAGCCTAAGGGTTAACAACTCATGGCTTCTGGATACTAAAAAAAAAAAAAAAAAATACAATCATGGAAAAAGCATTGGAAAAAAAAAAAAATGCAGAAGAAGGGTCGTTGACAGATTATTACCAGCACCCAACTACATATAAACCGAAAAAAAAAAAAAAAAAAAAATGAACACACTGGCAGCACATCTGTTTGTCAACCTTTCTTCCCTATTCATCATTTCTTTCTTTGTCTACTTACCGACACAGCGTGGCTGAGAATTGGCCCCGAGTAGTTGAGCGTGTGTACCACTTGGTAGGTGGCAACGTCGTACACCTTCACGTGTCTGTGAAGAAAGAGTTACAGTAAAGTAGTTCTTATTCTACAGTCCGTTCATAAATTCATGAACATCTCTGCAATCTACTTTCTCGAAAACTGCCTAGGCATATCTACATAATTCTTCTTCTTTCGTTCGCAATATCTACATAATAAATGATGCGCCAGTTTTGTTCGTTTCTCTTCAGCAACTCCCTAATCAGGTGCCTATTGCTACATTCTTGTTATGGGAGCCAGAACTAAAAGGAGACCCTTTTTTTTAAACGTCTAATGTCTCATTTCACTGAGCTCCTGTAACTAGTTATGAGTATGACCACGTCAATCCACGCCAAAGTTGTAAATCAGGCAAGAGCTTGACAAGTGTGACTGCATCTCTAAATGTCAAACTTATAAATTAGCCGACAAGAGTCTGATAGTGTGAATTAGTTATGTGTTATTACTTCGCTACCCGCCAAAGCTCAATAAATTCAGACCCCCACCCCCATGATTCAGTTATAGCTAAGAGGGACTCAGCGAAACATGCAGGAATCTTTTTCAAAATCTTTTAGTATTAAACAACAGTGACCAATTAATTGGAAAAAAGAAAAGAAACAGCCATTACTTACTTGTCTAAAGAAGCAGACATAAAGCGCTCGTAGTTGCTGCAGAAGCACAGTGACGTCACCGTCTTGTGATGGTTACACAGTGTGGCCAGAAGTTTCCCTCCCGCTAGAGCATCCCATACTTTAACCACGTTACCACCTGTAGTGAAATACAAACAGAACAAATAAACAGCCATCCTTAAATGCACGTTTTAGTAAACAGCTCTTTGGAACAGCGATTAAAGTTAATCAGTTGCAGAAACAGCCCCAGCATTTTTTTTAAAGGCAAGTTTACGTCTAGTAGTTTGCCACTGCTTTTAAAGGTCGGCTTCTCGATACCACTGTCAAAACCAATGCAAGATTTCTACACCCCCCAGGAAAACAGATCAATCTGAAGTCAAAAATACTAGTTTAGCAATGTTAAAATGTGTCTTTGACCTCCAGGCGCACAATTTTTTGAAAGTCTAGCTAACCATTTTAAATTTCGCTTGAGGGTGTTAAAATAACACGAGCACCTGACATAAAATAACTTTCTGTTCGGTTTTACACCTATTCCTAACATAATACAATCACACGAGTTAGTGGCTATTGACTGGCATCGGTAAAAATGAAATGCGGGGCAACTACAGTCCGTTCCCAAAGTAGTGCCCAACTTTAAAAAATCAACTTAGCAAACATTCGGTGTAAATTGTTGAAATTTGGCAAGCAACCTGTTAATAATCATGGAAAATAATTATAATGTAAACAAATATCTAGTTTTTTTCGTGCTTTTTATTAGTGGTTTGTGAAGGAGAAAAACGAGTCGCTGATTCTCAAAGCATACAATTAGCATGTATACAATAAATAGTTTGCAACGTGGTTAGTAAAACATATTGCTTGCATTCTGGAGGAAATCTGTGCAGGAACTAAGGCACGCTAATAAGAATAGTGAAGTAAATACGTCATGCACTGCTATAGTGCTTGTTAATTGGTTAATTAAGAATTCACGATCTGTGTCTTACTACATATTTTTTAGGAGTGCACAAAAAATTATTCCGATAAATCTCAAAGCAATCAGCAGCACCTGTGCAATTGCAAATGATAGAATCAAATGTGTATGGGAAATCAAAAACAAATGCAAAAAAATCGTTTGATCCGTACAGGAGTTTTTGAAATATTTATAAGTATAAGGGCACGACCTTTGAAACGGAATGGGACCCCTTTCCACGCCTGTCAGAAGTATTGTGTATACATGTCTAGACATATATTTTATAGACGAATGGCATTTGTGGGTGATGTCATCATTACTCCGGCCGCCTTTACTTCACAGGACTGTACCTGGTACGCACTCAAGGCTGGTTATGTTTTAAAAAAAAACAGAACTCACAACTTTCCGACCCGCAGGCAAGCGTCTAGCCGCTAGACCACGGCGGATTCCATACAGCATATATTTCTTAAACTATATTTCGGTATAAAACAATGGGGCATTGGATGAGTAATGCAGTCAGCATCAGGCTGGCCGCCGTTACTTCCTAGGGCATTGCATGCTTCTTCTTTTAAACTGGATCGACCGAGGACCCAATGTTGCGTTTTCCCCCTTTCTTTCAATGCGCCTTGATGAGAATTTGATCCATTGACCTTCGAGCCGGCAGACAGCTGCGGCGGCCCCACATGTTAAACATAAATGAAAACCGCCGGATATTCTGACACTGTCGCCTTAAAATAACTACAGCGAAATAAGGAAGTCGGTGAGAAACAAAAACCGCCAGTACTGACTGCCATCGCTAACATCATGAGGGCTAACAGACTGAAATGGCTGGGGTATATTGATGACAGAGAGGTAAAGAAGAACTGTATACACAAGGGAGCTGAATGACCACGAGACAGACCAAGAAGACTATGGAGATATACTATCCAGACAGACACTTGGTGTCTGTCACTACTGTCTGTTTTACCAGTTTTTAGGGCAGTGTAGACAGGGGTCCTTGAGCCTGAGGATTTAGGGCCAGTGCTGTCGCCACGGACTGTATAAGTAAGGATGTTAAATTCTGCCCCCAACAGCAAGCACATCATAACTGCGCGCTTTTTCTAGAAGAGCCGGGGAGCCGAAGCAGGGTCTCCCAAGAGTCTGACGTTGTAACCGCTCGGCCAGCTGCTCCTCTCACCTGGAGTCACCAACTGGTAAGAGTAATAAAGATAAGAACAAAAGACGGCTGTGTGGTACTTCTGTTCCTATTTGAAACATGTGTGATAATTTACTCTCATCAAAAGCTCTGAGTACCGTGCCTTTACCTTTATATACTGACTTTATTGAAATACCGATCTTCTGTGGAGTCCAGTCGCGCTGTCAGGTGACGTATATTCCATGTGATATTCCTTGCACTAATATTTTTTGAATTCTTTCTTTAGCCTCATACATTTGGCTTCAATTGAGCCTATTTAGTAATTTATTTCATGGCGTATCCCTAAAGAGAATTTAGCGGTCGAGTACACACACAACTCTCAGCGCCGCCGAACGCATCAAGCTGGGCAATAAGACACCACACTTTCCACTTCCTTCCACACGATCTCCGCCCTAGGTGTCAAACAGAAAACGGATACATGGTTATGATCAGCCAAACAGACTGCAGTTAGTGGGTAATGTGCCGGCTAAACCACAGTGAAATATAAACACAACATTCAAGTGGAACCAAAGCACACGTGAGTGGAGACCACAAAAACAGTTTTGAAATTTTTACCGTTGTCACATTTCATAATGATTTGCAAACATGTAGTCTAAAACTAACAACCCGGGCTGACAACCAGATGCTTCAGGAACATTCCAGACAGGCTTCGGCTGGTAATTATCGACAGTGAAAGCAGCCGGTTCAACAATGTGTGTCTTCTAAAAAATGAGTTTACAAGAAACATGTACACTGTGCACACATACGTTCTAACTAGTAAATTAAACATTTAGAAACATGCCCAACGCGCAATATTGGCATCGACTCTATGGCCTGCAAATATAAACATTTTTTTAAACATGTTAAATCAATTTCTTTAGTGAAAGTCACATTTTGAAAAAGGTATAATTATGTGCCTGTTGAGTTTAGAACTGACATCACAGCACCCGGGGCATTCCCATGCAAGCTCCGTCTGCATCTTCAGCAGCTAGCAGAGTTCCGATACTGATGGTACCGCTGGTTATATGTTCGCCCTGCTCTTTCTCTGAGTGTAGTAAGCCGGTTGGACCCTCTGGTCACACCCAGATGGCTCATTCTTTCCAAGCCATAAAAATCTTCCGTGTGCCTTGAAAGACAACGTAAAATCTGTCACTTCAAGATTATCGGCTATTCGTGTTCTGGATAAATTCTTTAGATAATGCATTCCACTGCCTTCGTCTTACACCGCGCAACACTGTTTCTTTCAGACTGTACCCGCCTCTAATATTAATTATACGTCATGACGTCGCAGTTGTTGCATGTGCATACTTGTTGATCTCGTGACAAAAACGGTGTCTTCTAGAAAAAGCGCGCAGTTATGATGTGCTTGCTGTTTGTTAGAGCACCACGTCAACATGATCAGTTGAAAATGACAGAGAGGTTCCCCGGGGGTGGGGTGGCCACAAACCTACTTCACTTGTTTTCCTCTATCTTTCTATGAGTGCCGATCAATAAACTTTCTGTTACTGGATTAATTCATAATATTTAACGGCCTCAAAGGTTCCCCCTCTGTTTATTTATAGGAATGATGTATACACACCGGAACCTACCAATCAAATACCTCTCTTAAATGTTTGTGTATTCTATACAAAGCATTAAGGTCTACTGTGTTCGTAAATTGTTGCTGTGGTTGTTATTCGACATATGCTTCGTTAATATAAATTTCTGTAACCTATGGTGCCATTTCAATAGTTTGAAATTAATTATGTCCGTATTCCATAGTTGTGGATTTCAGGCTTATGATAGACATGGCCAATAAGACTTTTTTCTGGGGTGCCTGGTTGGCCATGTTCTTAGTGCACTTGTATCCATGGCGAGGCGCACACGCCGTCTGGAGGTGACAGGTTCAATTCCTGGCACGGTGGAATGACTCTCTATTGTCTTCTTCTGACTCTAGTCATTGCACGCTTCCATTAACTGGCTGACAACACACGAGAAAACATGGACGCTGGCGAACGATCCAAATTACACTTACGCAGTTGTTTATTTGTTCACTCGCTGGTATTGCAGCCAGTAAATGTTACTGGAACACATAGTCACTCATATCTATCCTCACTTATCTAACATGTCAACTTTACCTTTTAATACACATTCCATCCAACAATTAAATGAACAACGACTATTCCATCCGATCAAAACACAAACATTCTCAGCTGGCTACGACTTCCGTTCGCCGCTACTGATGGCCAGGTAGGCGTTGGAAAAACACTGTGCAGACACATCGGACTTGAACACTCTTTCTGGAACCCGCAGACACTCCATTATACTTCATGTATTCATTTCCTAGGCCCAAACGAGACTGACTCCCAGCCCTTTCTAAGGCATTATATAGCCTTCTAATGCCCCTCTTTGTATTCCCGAATTCTCCGTCTTCACTGATTTTCCTGAATTCTATTTGGCGAGCACTGTATATGTGATCCCCGTAAATTTCATCTGGGCAGCAATTCTTTGTGATTTGAAAGTTGTGAAACATGTCAAACTTGCCAGTTATTTCATGAGAAAGATAATCTACCTTGTGGTCATAAAATATTGGCACATGAAGCAAATTCTGTTATCACCTCTCAGGAAACAGTTAAGATGTATCATGGTATTGTTAATAACAAATATATTGGTTGCCAAACTTTTGGAGGCACCACTGAAAAATATAAAGTAGCCTTTGTCAATGTTAACACTCCATTTTTACAAAGAAGAATAAGAGCTGCAGTATTGCCATCACCATGTGCAGGATTAATTTTGGGGAATGAAAAGGGTTTGAAAGAAATGTCTGAGCAAGAAATTGTTCAGTGGGCAGCAATTCTTTGTGATTTTCATGATAGTTCGTCTGGTCAGCATTTCTCGTGCTACACTTAAAATATTCCACTTTCATTAATTACTGACGTCATTCCGTCTAGGCATAATTTATCTAGGAGAAAATGAGGCTCACTACACACGGTAACTATAGCTTTTGATTTTTATGTTGTCTAGTGAGTTCTATCTTTCT